TACAGTCTGAACAGAGACCGCGTACAGTCTGAACAACGACCGCGTACAGTCTGAACAGAGACCGAGTTCAGACCGCGTACAGTCTGAACAAAGACCGCGTACAGTCTGAACAAAGACCGCGTACAGTCTGAACAAAGACCGCGTACAGTCTGAACAGAGACCGCGTACAGTCTGAACAACAGTCTGAACAAAGACCGCGTACAGTCTGAACAAAGACCGCGTACAGTCTGAACAAAGACCGCCCTGACTGGAGCCTGTTCTGTTCCAGGTCTGAGTAAAATGGTTGTTTCTGTAGGTTCTCCACGAGACCTTCCCCCAGCACACGTTCCTCATGAACGGACTGATCCAAGGAGTGAAGGTAAGAACGAGAGGAAGAGGAGGAGAGGAGGAGGAAGAGGAGGAGAGGAGGAGGAGGAAGACGAAAGGAGGAGGAGGAAGACGAAAGGAGGAGGAGGAGGAGAGGAGGAGGAAGAGGAGGAGGAGAGGAAGAGGAGGAGAAGGAGGAGAGGAGGAAGAAGAGGAGGAGGAGGAGAGGAGGAGGAAGAGGAGGAGGAGGAGAGGAGGAGGAGAGGAAGAGGAGAGGAGGAGGAGGAGGAAAGGAGGAGGAAGAGGAGGAAGGAGGAGGAGGAGGAGGAGAGGAGGAGGAGGAGGAGGAGAGAGGAGGAGGAAAGAGGAGAAGAGGAGGAGGAAGAGGAGAGAGGAGGAGGAGAAAGAGGAGGAGAGGAGGAGGAGAGAGGAGAAGAGGAAGAGGAGGAGGAGGAGAAGAGGAGAAGAGGAGAGGAGGAGGAGGAGGAGGAGGAGGAGGAAGAGGAGGAGGAAGAGGAGAAGAGGAGAAAGAGGAGGAGGAGAGGAGAGAGGAGGAGGAGGAGGAGGAGGAAGGAGAGGAGGAGGAGAGGAGGAGGAGGAGGAGAGGAGGAAGAGGAAAGGAGGAGGAGGAGAGGAGGAGAAGAGGAGGAGGAAGAGGAGGAGGAGAGGAGGAGGAAGAGGTCACAGGTCACATCTCTTGTCTTTTCTCCAGGGTCTTCTGTCGTTCATGTCGGCTCCTCTGATTGGTGCTCTCTCCGACGTCTGGGGTCGCCGCACGTTCCTATTGGTCACCGTGTTCTTCACCTGCGCGCCCATCCCCCTCATGAGGCTCAGCCCCTGGTACGGCCGGGTCCTGGGTTCTGTTCCCTCCGTCCGGGTCCGAGGTTCCGGTCCTTGTGTCCGGGTCCGAGGTTCCGGTCCTTGTGTCCGGGTCGTGTTACTCAGCGTCTGTCGTGTTTTTCAGGTGGTATTTCGCGATGATTTCCGTTTCCGGCGTTTTCTCCGTCACTTTCTCCGTGATCTTCGCTTATGTCGCCGACGTGACGGACGAACGAGAGAGAAGCACCGCCTACGGACTGGTGAGAGGAACGAGGGAATGAGGGAGCGAGGGAACGAGGGAACGAGGGAACGAGGGAGCGAGGGAACGAGGGAGCGAGGGAACGAGGGAGGAGGAGAGGAATGAGGGAGCGAGGGAACGAGGGAGCGAGGGAACGAGGGAGCGAGGGAACGACGGAGGAGGAGAGGAGAAAGGAGAGATGAGAAGAGTTAAGGAGGCAAGGAGGGATTAGGCAACGAGGAAGGAGGGAGGAGGCAAGGACGGAGGAAACGAGGAGGGAAGGGAGCCAGGAGGGAGGAGATGAGGAGAGAGAAAGCAAGGAGCCCAGGAAAGAAGGAAAAGAGGAGGAAGGAAGCAAGGAGGGAAGGAGTCAAGGCGAGGAGAGGAGAGAGAAAAGGAGAAAGGAAATAGGAGAGAGGAGAGGAGATAGGAGAGAGGAGGGAGGAGATAGAAGAAAGGAGACAGGAGATAGGAGATAGGAAAGTAGGAGATAGGAGAGGAGGAGATAGGAGAGAGGAGAGTAGGAGAGTAGGAGATAGGAGATAGGAGAGAGGAGAGTAGGAGATAAGAGACAGGAGACAGGAGAGTAGGAGTTAGGAGATAGGAGACAGGAGATAGGAGATAGGAGACAGGAGACAGGAGTTAGGAGTTAGGAGCTAGGAGTTAGGAGACAGGAGACAGGAGCTAGGAGACAGGAGTTAGGAGATAGGAGACAGGAGATAGGAGACAGAAGACAGGAGTTAGGAGCTAGGAGACAGGAGTTAGGAGATAGGAAACAGGAGACAGGAGTTAGGAGCTAGGAGACAGGAGTTAGGAGATAGGAGACAGGAGTTAGGAGACAGGAGTTAGGAGATAGGAGACAGGAGAGTAGGAGACAGGAGTTAGGAGATAGGAGACAGGAGATAGGAGACAGGAGTTAGGAGCTAGGAGACAGGAGTTAGGAGATAGGAAACAGGAGACAGGAGTTAGGAGCTAGGAGACAGGAATTAGGAGATAGGAGCTAGGAGACAGGAGTTAGGACACAGGAGTTAGGAGACAGGAGTTAGGAGATAGGAGACAGGAGAGTAGGAGACAGGAGATAGGAGACAGGAGAGTTGGAGACAGGAGTTAGGAGTTAGGAGACAGGAGTTAGGAGCT